AACGACGGTTTTATGTTGTATATATACGTTTTGATTTGTGTCTGTTATTATCGCTCGTGCTTCCGGCTTTTTGCGGAATATACTTCGATTTCTCTCTCTCTAGTTGGCGAGGCTGTGACGCAACAGAATAGCTAATTTGTTGATATTTGGTCACATGTCTTTGTTCCATTTGCAGACTAAGTGAACTCTGAATCACTTCAAACATAGCAGTAACAATAATGAAGTCGCTACATTCTACACTTTAATTCTAGCTGTTTACAATACAACCCCCACAAACTACTCAGAAAAATATTCTTATCGATTATTATTTTTTTTAGTTTTATCAGTAGAATAATTCCTAATGTTAATTAAATTTTCACCAAGTTGATTTGTTGGTTATTCATTGAGAGAAATAATATTCATCATAGAGATAATAAAAAAAAAACGATACAAGATGTAGAAGTAATTCAAACTATACATGTTCATTATTGATAAGCTAATGAAAAATCTATAAATAGATAATGAAATGTAATGAAATATATATATTTTTTAAGTCTTCAATAAACAAATTATATTGTGATTATGAAAAGAATATGAACATTTAGCTATTCTCTATTTTTCTAAAAAAAGAAGATAGAATTATTCTCCATTTATAGACTCTGTAAATGCATAATAATTAGCTGATAAACTAACAACTAAAGAATCTTTTCATCATCGATGTTATATTTTAATAAAAACGATTGAACGATTGAATTATTAAAGTAATTCATATATGCTTTAGGTATTTGGTGTTAAAATACACAATATGGTAACTTATAAATATCTTTCGTTAGGGTATATTTCAGAAAGGTTTATATTAGTTTCAACTACAGTTAGTTTGTAAAGATTAGTATTATGCATAATGATTAATATGTCCATGATCATGACCATAGTTATTAAATAATCATTACAGTGACACAAACATGTAAACATTACATTAGATGTCACTACTTGGTCGTATATTTTACATTAAGTAACTGGTAAACGTCAGGAACAAAGTTAACATCTTAACATGACTACATAATTATTAAACGGTAAGTTTTGATTGATGTTTAAGCTTAAACTACACACTTTAAGAATGAGTCTGATATGGTTTACTTTAATTTTTGAGACTTTGAAGAATTAGACGATCTATCAGTATTTATTTCTTTTAAAAATGATAGTGTTATTAATTCTAATACTCTGGAATTTCTCATGATAATTTAATTTAATTGAGCTAATGTCATGTAGCTACTTGAACTGGTGTATTCATGTACCAGGTTGACAATGACTGACTGATGTTAGGATCAAAACTAGTAAGAATCAAAGATCTAATACACTAGGAGGAGGAACAGAATAGTGTTTATGAAATCAAATATAGCGACTGTAGTGCAACGTATGTAGGTGCAACATCAAGACAACTAAATATGAGGACGAAGAAACACAAACTATATTTAAAGCACATTACTAAATATTCAGTTGAGGTAAGAAAACTAGAGAACAAATCAGCGATAGCATTACACTCGATAGAATCGGGTCATACAATTGATTTCAATAGCATAAGAATCCTTTAAGAAGGCTTTAATTCATACAACGAAAGACTAACAGCCGAAGCCCTACATATATGGGCTAATCCAAACAGTATTAATAAGAGAGATGGAATACGACTATCTGTTCCATAGCAACTAATAATTAATAAGTAAACCTAAACTCTTTATTTCATTTTATTTATATCATATTAACTAATTAACAGATATTACATTCAACGGATCGAATCAGTTATTTTATCTGAATATGTTAAACAATTAACTGGAATATTAAAATAACACAAACTTTTAGTTACAAATGCATTCTTCCTCTTTGAATTCATTCCTTTATCTTGTTGATCATCATTTTATACATTCTGTGACATTTTTGATTCATATCATTTATGAAAATTATGTTTTCTTAAAATTCACCCACCACAGAGAACAACATATAAATAGTGAAATTTTTTATCACTCACGTATACACACAATCTATTATCTTAACACTTTTCGTTTCACACCACATGTCTCTTACACAGTAATCCAAATACCCACTATAAACATTGTTAACATTGATTGGATGACCTATTCAGTATTCAGTGAACCGGAGAAACGTACCTATTTATATTCGATAATTTTGATATTTGATTATATTTCCTTGAAAAAACTTGAACCAGATTTACTTCAAATTCATTCGCTGAGATTTTACAAATATATTTTTCCTCTTTAATTTCTCACATCAACTAGGTGCCAAAATACTGTGAAACTATTCGATCAAATTTAGACGAAAGTTCATATTGATTGATTATTCGTTGTTTAGAATTTACGAATAGCATTAATCTCTGAATAACACTTTTCGTTCTATTATTCTGCTTTTATATGAAAATTCTTAAGAAGTTTCTCTATCTTTGAGTTACGAATAATGAATTTTAAAATGGAGTTTATTACACTGTAAGACGACATGAAGATAGAATTTTTGCCCATACCTTAAATGTTGACATGATCATAGAGTTTAAATTAATCTGTTTACCTACCGTTGTCAACTTACTAGTTCTCATTTAACCTGCTTATTTATTATAAATTATGTAGAAATAAGTAAGACTTGATTTTAAAAGATACCTGTGTTGATTATGGAAAGAAACAATTAATTTAAATTATGAAAGCTAATAAACCCTAAACCAAAATGAAACTTATCATTTTTGCCAAAAAGAGAAATTTCGAACGACGAACCGCGCCCAATAAATTATTTCTTTTTTTAAAAAAACATCCTAAAAGATTGTAACCAAGGTAAAATATATATAATGATATTTTTGATGTTAACAAGGTCTATATATTTTTCAGCAACTTGACATATACATGAAACCTAGTTGTTTTAAAGATCAACCTGAATTTCTGTGATAGAAAAAAAAAACATTTTAATTGTCTTCTAACTTCCCGACTGCTAAAATCGGATTTTTTCAGATATTCAGTTAAATTATGATTTCACCATCCTTCACCTAACATGGGAGGTCTAGAATGAATTATCATCGAATTTCAATCCAGAACAAGGTTTTAAAACTGCTGAGGGATAAAATAGCTATGAGAATAAAATGAATAAGAACCTTAATGATTTTATAGTTATAGTAAAAAAGGTTGTCTTAAGATTTAAATAAGAGATTGGGCAATATGTAATAACATAAAATGTTAAGAGTACGATAATTCGAATCATGTCACTACCTGACAAATAGTAAACATTTGCTACCATTCATTTTTTCATTACATTTGTTCAGAAAACTTCTGTACAGTATGTGGTATTCTATTAATGAAGCAAAAGGTTTAAAATAAATACATTGTTTTACGTTTTTGATGTGCACAGAAGTTCTGCATAGCATATGGAATTTTTAAATTAGTATATATATATATATATATATATATATATATATATATATATATGTTTGGAAAGTGTAAATCATTTCATCAACACGATTTTTTTTTTTTTTTAGAATCTTCGAATACATTTGGAATGATTCAATAAAAGCAACCAAATAATTAAAATAACCCATAGTGTCATTGAATAAGAAAAAGAGAATTCAGCGAAGAAAATTTTCTTTTCGACGAAATCCTTTACTTAAGCTGTACATTTGTATATATAGTTATATGGAAAATGTATGTCTATTAGAGGATATAAAGGATTGTATCACAAAAATGGATTCGAGAATAAATAACAAATGGGGTTAACGTACTAATTAAGGGGTAAGGAAGAACAAAATTTATGGGTCAGATAATAGTCCAATTGACAGTTATTATTATTATTATTGTTATTACCTAATACAAGTTTTCTTGATTATTATTCAGTTTATTATTATGACCTTTGTTGTTTGTCGCTTTTCTTCATATATGTCAATTGGACTATTATCTGACCCATGAATTATGTTCTTCCTTACCCCTTGATTAGTACGTTAACCCCATTTGTTATTTATTCTCGAATCCATTTTTGTGATACAATCCTTTCTATCTTCTAATAGACATACATTTTCCATAGAAGCAACCAAGTTTACTGTTAGGTGAATGTACGAAATTATTGATATTCTCATTGTTGGCTAGATACAAAAATGTATATGAACTATGATGACCTCCCGTGATTAAAAAAGATCTAGTATATAAGGATATATCTAAAGAAGATATTAGTTATTATAAAAGCATACTGACACATATATTCTTAAAGAAAACATCTCACAGCAAGCTGATAAGATTAAAGTTTCATTGTCAGTAGGAAAAAATAAATTTTCGAAATAAAACTGTTAAGTCCCGATAAGCATACTGAATGATAACTTTGGGATCCATTTGTAGACCAATACTAAATGTATTTTTATCGTATAATTGGCAATTGACTACACTATACACATTCATATTCCTCTTATTATAAGCTTTATTTTGACCTATGAACCATTATTATACGTTTTACCATTCTTGAATTATGCCCTGTTTATTAGTCACTGCCTCTCACATTCACAGCCACATTTGGCCAAATTTTATACGAATGTTATTTTGTATTTTGTGGTACGTTGTTGTCTGTTTGATTGGTATATAAACCGAGTAGGTTTGAAATATATGATTCATATTGCAGAGGCTGAGATTGGTGTTCTGAACTCAACTAGAAGAGTTAGGCGGAAAGCAGGACCAATCAGGACTCTAGGCTGCTAGCACGTGTTTTATGCGTCCTTGGTTCGATCGATAATTCACTGCTTCTGATTGGCGGCCACAAGTTATAACAAAAACGTTGAGATTGTAACAGTTGAATAGATTTGAAAATATAAAGAGACTATATTTTTTCTTCGCAAGATTTACCATGGTGAAGTGTGCCATTACATCCATTAATTTCTAGTTTTCTGTTTTTAGAATCCTATTCTTTGAAGTTACATCAATATCAACATACATTTAAATCTAACGTAATTTGAGAGGACTGTTTTAATAATCACAGAACTTTATTTAAATTAGGAAGTTGAAAATAATTCAACCAGTGTATATACAAACTTATTTGAAATGGATAACAATGAAGTATTGGGATATCTTATTCTGAGTATACTAATGGATTATTTTTATCAATATTTTGTAAATAATAATCTTGTTCACATTAATAATGTGATGGATGGTTTCATTGTTTCTGCTGATTAAATTCGTTACAATATTTTTCGGATAATTACCTTAATTACTGAATTACTGCAGTGAATGAGTTTAAACGTAGTACAGTCATCCATTTGATGCACTCACTCATATTAATATGTCCGTTCCACCTGAATGTATAGGTAAACATAATTACCAAATTACTGACAGTAAATTTTAACATCATTTCTGGATTCTTCCCCCCAACTATTTATAGTTGAGAGAAAACAGTGTTCAATAATAACATAAAAATGTTTTTGAAAGTTTGGATTTTTATAGTGAACAACATAAAATATATCTCAGATTTGCTATAGAAGTTATAAAATAATGGTAATTCTTTCATAGTGCTCACTGCATTTAATTACAAATTTGATTTTGAATATCTATATTAGCATTTTCTAATTTATCAATACACAATTCTGTGTCAGAATTTAGCAAGTACAACGGATATGTTTCTTGTTAACAAAAGCCGAAATTTTCTTCAGATTCAATTGCTCAAAGTATTGTTGAAGAACGTCTAATTATGCATCAATTAACTGACAACATCTACCAATAAACTAAATACAACCATTACTTGCTTACTTACTTATTTACTCCTGTTACCCATTGTGGAGCATGGGCCACCTGCCGTGATTCTAAAAGCAACTGCTCTAGGCTCGCCTTTCTAGCTGCTTCCAAATCTTGTTCATCCTTTTGATGTCTGCCTCCAATTCCTGGTGCAATGTGTTTTTTAACCATCTTTTTCTTTTATTTTCAAGATTTTATGTTAGTGTTTGCCTCATGATGCAGCTTAATGATTTTCACAATGTATATCCTATCCACTTCCAGCGTCTTTTCTTAATTTCCTCTTCAACAGAAATTCGGTATGTTATCTTCAATAGTAGGTTGTTCTCAATGATATCTGGTCAAGAGGTCCTGAGTACCTTGTGTAAGCAATTGATGATGGTTGTAGTAGTTCTCAAAGTCTCAGCTCCGTACAGTAGAACTGTCTTGGTATTGAAAATTCTGACTTTGATATTGGTTGACAGTTGTTTTGAGTTCTATATATTCTTCAATTGTAGGAATGCTGTTGCTCTACCAATATTTGCATTCACGTCCGCATCCAATCCTCATTGTTCCTCGATGATGCTGTCCAGGTACGTGAAAGTTTTCACATCTTTCAGAGCTTTTCTATCGAGTGTGGCTTGGTCATTTTTCTCTATTTTCTATTTGAGGATCTTGCTTGTTCCATCGTGTATGTTGAGGCCTACTGATGCAGGGACTGTTGTCACACTAGTTGTCTTCATCTGCATTCGTTGATGTGTAAAGGATAGAAGGGCCAGGTCGTCTGCGAAGTCAAAATCTTGTAAGTGATTCTAAGATATCGACTGTATTCCGAGTTTCCCGTCAGATGTTGAGGTCTTCATAATCCAGTCGACCACCAGGAGGAAGGAAGGGAGTAGACAGCCTTCTCTGACTCGAAAAAAGGCTTTAATAATTCTTTGTAATGCTATATTTTCGTTCCTTTCTCCCAGTCCATGTTGTTCCATGATATCTTCATATCCGGTGTTGTCCATTCCGACTTTAGCGTTTAGGTCTCTCATCAGAACGATCTAGTCATTTCGTGGGCACTTCGCTATGATTGATTGCAGCCTCTCATAGAACTGATGTTTATCGTCGTCATTGCTATCATCTGTGGGTGCATAACATGTGATAACATTCATTGTTGTCCCTTCCTTCTTTTTTTTAAAAGTGCTTTGATGATTCAGGATCCATGAGATTTCTGTCTTATAAGTGCTCTTTGTATTTCCTCTGACAGCATTAGTGCAACCCCTCGTGTGGGTGAAGCATTTTCCTGTTTATTATCAGAGTATAACAGCACCTCTAATGAGCGTAATCTTTTCTGTCCAGCTTGGGTTGAGTGTATTTCACTGGTTTAGATAACAGCTAATTTGTATCCCGTTAATTCCGCAGCTATCCGACCGGTCCTCTTAATATCCTAGATTCTCCGGAAATTTGATGTACCTATGTTAATTGTTGGTCCGATTTTCACAAGGAGTATAGGACTCGCGATTCCCGGAAATTCTCGGTTTTCACCACGAGGCGTCACAACTCTTCTAAATAAATTTTTCTAGTTGGCTTTCTTCAGCAAGGTTGTTTTTTATGGGATTGGGTTATTGACCTCATGCTCAATCATCCTCTTTTATAAAGTTTCAGACAGGCATTAACCTTAGAAGAGCTGCAGGTGGTGATACGACTGTTGTTTACGTAGTTGATAACGTTTGAATACATAAGTTTGCACAACTTTCGACAATAATGATACACTTCAATTCCAACATGAATGCAGAGTAATATGAATTCACTATACTCCGTAGTTTCTCATCTGTTGCTTACTAACTAATTGATTTGGATAAAACGAATAGCCAACCTTGATATTTGTCATATTTTTGAGTTAATGCGCCTGTAGTGTCTGTCATTATGTTAAGCCCAAATACCATATTATTCTAACTTTCGGACAGCCGATTCTATTCATTCTAGTTGAGTCACATTCTGACCTTGTTAATTATTCGCTTATCAATATCTTGACTGTCTTTGTATGAGCGCGTAGGCGTATGTACACTTTTTATCCCGTCACTCATCACATGTCTGTAATTTATTTTTGTGGGCTTATAAATATTGATTAACTCTTTGTTAAGGGAGAGTTGGCTTACCAGCCATCTCCACCGCGCGCCGATTTAGCTTCGCTTTCTCATCTTCGCATCGTTCCTCCGTTCGTTTGTCTAATCAACAATTATACGAAATATATGCATTCAAAACTCCATTCTCGTTATTTGACTAATTTAATTCCGTTATTAACTAACGCGATTTAAGTCAATGATTATATACGAGGATAGACGATAGCAACCAATCATTATGATCAAATTGGAGTCAGATTACGGGCCACTAAACGCCTTCTCATTCTTAACTCTGTGTATTACAGCATAGTCCTTCCTTGATGTCGTATGTAAGGATTAAGTAATAAACGAATGATGAATATTCAAATTATCAGAATCATTACTTAGTATATGGTTGCGCAACTCGATGACAGTATGCAATATATATATATATATATATATATATATATATATATATATATATATATATATATATATATATATATATATATATATATATATACTCTAATAGAGTTTTGTGAAGTACTTTACTTTTATACTGATTCAAAAGAAGATGGTATAAAGTGTGTTCAATGAAAACTTAAGTATTTTGTTTTAATACTTGGTCATCTTATAGTTAATTTATTAGCCGTCAACTGCTAAACTTCCAGTATTATATAATGATATATTTCATCACTAAACTTATATAATGTATTTCAGTAGATCAAATACATAAACAGGTTCTATTCCAAATTGAATCGACAATAATGATACACTTCAATTCACAACAGGAAGCATTATTAATATATTGTAGAAAATTGAATAGTTTCTTTCCAGAACGGTATTCAATATTTCCCAAATCAGGATCGCTTTGAGCATACTATGTATACTGCTGTTAAGATAGCTGTGATTTTAAACATTCTCGTTTACATTTTTTTAGTTTTGATCTATATACTTTCTATTTACGCATATTTTTTAACATATTTAATGAGTAGTTTTTACTATCAAAATAAGTTTTGATGAATAATCTGGTACTGACAGTAGTTTTACACAAAATTCTTCGCCGATCTTATTACCTTTTTCTCTAAATAAGTTCTCTACTTTTCAGAATATTGGTCTAGTTTTCATTTTACAGATTCTCAATCGTTAATATTTCGCCATGTGTTATCACAAATATAATTGTTTTTCTGATAAATGTTTTACATTAACATATTTCTTTGATCAAGATCATGAACCGATTAATGTTAGACCACCATTAAAAATCTGGAAGCACTGAACAGCTGTTTCATTCTATTGTGGGACTATTCAACAGTGAGCACCCATGATCCCGTTCGCGGGATTCGAACCCAGGGTCTTCAATCTCGTGCACGAACGCTTAACTTCTCGACCATTGACCTAGCATCCAACGATGTTATTGTCTAAAAATTAATTAACCTCCACAACCCCATACTGATAAAACATTTTTCAATAGTCATTAAGTATGTTATCATTTTTCATTCTTGATCTTAATTGTTATTGTTATTTATTTTCCTGATAAAACAAATTCATTATCCAGTTTCATATATTTTCCTTTTTGAAATATCTTAATCAAATAGTTTAATTTATGTATTTTGTCCTTCTGTTTTTAGAATATTACGATTTTATATTTTAATTTTAAAGAAAATAAGTACTTCATGTTACGTGACTTAATTCAGATTTTTTTTCCTTTATTGAATAAAAACAGTTTATTTTTAGAAAAAAAAAGATTTTGTGTTAAAACATAGTTTTTCACTTTATTTTTCATTATATGGAAATTATTTGTACTCTTGAACAACAGGTTAGTACTCATTTCAAAATAAGAAGATACTCAGATTTCATTGAACTCAGTATAATATTGTATAAATGTTTAGTTATCCTTGCAAATCACTCTTGGTGTTATTTAAACACTGACTCGCCATACTAATTTTTTTAATTGAATAAACATCACTAGTATAAGAAAAAATATTGTGGGATATAATATTTGTAATGTTGTATCCAAAAGAAAACTAAATTAAAAATGTTGCATGCAATATACAGAGATAAACAATAAAGAAAAATCTTTTGAAGGATAAACCAAGTAACAATGGTTCATTGAAGAGATCTCTTCCTTGCTAATTCATTCCCAAGACCATATGATTGTAGAATTTATAATTTTCGTTCACAATGATAATGGATAATAAGCTTATTGATTATAGGAATTATTTACTGAATATAATAACAAGGGGAAAGACTCAACAAAATATAGTCTTATTAAAGAGAAAAAATGTATTTGTAAAATCTCAGCGAATGAATTTTAAGTAAATCCAACGTTTCGCCTGGCAATCTGGTCCAAGCTTTTTCAAGGAGATAATTTTACAAATA